CCTAAAACATTAATTTATCACACTGGAGGTACCTCAAATGGAATGGTCCACTTAGTAGGATCCTTGTGGATCTTAGGTAAAATATAAAACCGCCTCTCGCGTGGCTGTGCACTTCCCACCAAGTATTGTCTCTGTTTGAAATTAATGAATTTTCTCTTTTTTAAATTGTCCAATATGTCAGTTACCATCGGAATCGTTTCCATATACATAGGTTTTTGTAATTTTTTATAATATACTGTGTTATTTAACTGTCTTTCAACCTCTAAAATGTACTGTTCCCTACTTAAAATGACAACCGCTGACCCCTTGTCAGCTGGCTTAATTACTATATGTTTTGTGTTTATTAATTCCCATAAAGCTTTTACCTCCTGACATGAAATATTATATTTCTCTTGTATTGACTTATAATGTTTTTTAAATATTTCCATATCTTCCTGAATTAGGGTTTGGATCTCCGGTGGCAACTGATCCATCTTTGGAGTCCAGTTTGATGGACCAACAAAAGGTAAGATTCCAGTATTGTTTTTATCCGAATTTCTAAAATACGCGGCCAATTTAATTTTACGGTGATAATTTTGCATGTCCAACTGAAATTGTAATTTTTGATCCCTGTCTATGTCCAACGTGGGGATAAACGAAAGTCCCCTGCTTAAGAGACTATGTTGTGGTTTGGTAAGTTTGAAGGCTTTAGCCAAAACCACAACATCTTGTGCCTGGAAGGACTGTACTCCTTCCACCCCCTCCTGCTCCAGACTTAGGGGGTGCTGGAGTTTAAAGTCGCCATCCAATGTTCAAAAATGGCTCTCGCCATTTCAGGTGTCCAGTGGATGTCGTCTGCCTCCGTCTGAAACTTGTCCTCAGGCAAGAGAGGAATGTAGGGCATGTTCCTCTCCAAGCGAAGGTTCAGGGATTCCAGGTTATCCCGTTCCTCCACAGGGAGATGTGGGGAAAAATTCACTTTTGGGATCCAGATCTGCGAGTATGGAAACCTACGCTTGGTGGAACGTAGTGCCATGAGAGCCTGTGCATGGCGGAAGTGACTCCCCGGATAGCACTCAACCTGGAGATCCTTGTTGAAGAAATCGGGGAAGTTACTGAGGTTAGAGTCCCCAACAATGAGCCACTTTTTGGTTACCACCAAGTTCCAGTCTGTGAGTTTCCGTTGGGTGTTAGGATGTCTGTGCACCCTAAACCTAGGAGGCTCCGGATCTGTGAATCGGTCAAAAGACTCTTCAAAGAGTTCTTCCTCCGGGACATCTTCCTGGTGGACCTGAATGTCCGGTACTGTGGCCTGCGAAGCCAAGGCTTCAGCTTCCTCTCTCTCCTGCTCTGCGTCCAACTCATCAAAATACCTCCCCATGTCGGAGGTGTTGCGCTCCCAAATACCTCTCACTTCCTCAGCAGACAAAAGCTCAGGCTCCTTTAGAAGATAGTGATCCTCCGTCAAGATCACTCCTCTGGTGGTCCTAGGTCTCCTACGGACCTCCCTCTGTTCTCGAGGGGGTTCCATCTGTGGGGCCTCCTGTTCCCCATTGACGTCTAGATCTGCTAGATCTGTCATCGTGGCTACTGATGTCCTCACAACAGGTTGTCGTGGGACTCAAGGCGAGGCCTCAAGCGTGGTTGCCTGTTGCGGGACCTGTACTTGTTCCTGTACAGGAGCCGTTGTAGCCTGTCGCGGGGCCGGTACCTGTGCCTGTGTTGGAGCCGTTCTATTTGCCATTCTGCTGGTGACCAAGGCCTCGGCCCGTTCGGTGACCTCCTGCGAAAGTCGAGGCAGGTTGCGTTTTGCCCAACGAACAGCCACCGCAAAAGCCTCCTTCCAATCCGGCGTGAGAAGATTGGAAAGTTCCTCGAGGAGATCTTCCAGACCCGCTTCATAATGCTCCATTAACATCTGGTAGGTAGTGTAACCCCAGTTCTTAGCGTTAGCGGTGATCAACTCCACTGTACGCTCTGTTGGAGCAGCTGGCTTAATCATCTCTGCCAAGATCTCTACTATCCTCGAGATCATTCTGGGCTCCTGCTTCCCGGGCTTCAGAGCCACATTTTCTCAATGGTGGACCTGTCTTATCACACCATGTAGTTTGCGAATCAGCTTCCCCAGCCGGGGATCAGCTGATTGGCGTTTAACCTCCGGCCCACTAGCTCTAGGAGGGATTCACCGAACGGGCCGAGGCCTTGG